GGAGATGGACCTGGGACTTGTCCTTGGACTCGTTGAGGCGCTCGCCAAACTCGTAAAGCTTCTCGATTTGCTTTGCTTCTTCGGATGAGTCAGTCATTGGGATAGAGGAGAACTGAGAGAGAGTGAAAATTGAAGAAATATTAACATCAAGAAATTGAAGAATTAAGCATGCGAGAAAGAAAGAGAGGGAGAGAGATTGAGAGAGAAGAACTGACTGCTTCTAGAACTGAGGTGCAGCAATGGAGTGGATTGCTATGGAAGAATTAAGGGTTTTAGGTTTATATATATTCTGATTTCTGAACTGGAAATTTGGAAGAAAAAATGTCGTCAATTGGGGAAGAAATCTGACAATGTTATCTGCTTTGCGTAAACGACGTCGTTGCTTGTTTCTTGCTTGGGTGGCTCAACTCCCTGATGCCAATGGTTATCTAATTTTTAATGAGCAGTGCTAAGGGCACTCGCTTCCTGCACTCTCCGGCTAACACTGCCCCTTTCATTGGGCCACGTAACGTTGTTGTAAACCTTGAAGTGCAACCTCTGACCGACTAAAACAACGTGGCCCAATGAAAGGGGCAGTGTTCGCCGGAGAGTGCAGAAAGCGAGTGCTCATTTTTCATTTGCTTCACCGAAAAGCTCTTTTGCAACCCATGGTCCCGATGGTTTTCTAATTTTCATTCGCTTTTTACAGGGTTTTAGAAAAAATAGTCTGTAAAAAAATTATCAAATGTATAAAAATCTAAAAATATTATAAAAAAAAACTCTCATCAAAATACCGAATGCACACTGCATTATACTAGATTATAAATTAATAGATTTTTTTGCTTTATATTCTTAAATATCAACTTTTTTTATTGGGAAAATACAAAATTCAATCTTTAACTTTTATTATAAATATTAGATATTATTTTAACCTTTTGTTTTGACCAAAAATAGTCCCCAATTTTTTTTCAAAATTACCAAACTTAATTATAGGGCCAGTTAATTTTATTAATTTTCAAAAGAAAATCTCGAGTAAATTTTTGAGAGGTCTAATAGAAATTTTTACATGGTATTCTTTTAACTTTCATTGTTTTTAAATTATTCTTACTAAATTTTGGGTTCTTTACACCTAACTCTTCTTTTTTTTTTTAATATTTAGGAATTTTTTAATTTACAAGCAAGGGATTATGTATATGTTACATGCTAGAATTTTATAATTTGAGATGGATTTTTATTTTTTATTTTTTTAATGTATTTTATAAAACAATAATTTGAATAATCAATAATTTATAATTGAAAAATATTTAGATTATGAAATTCATTATATTGTTAAACTAGTTAGTTATATTAAAGGTTTCTAAAAAATTAAAAAAAATACATAGTTCAATGATGTCAAAAAAAATAAAATATATGTTTAGTGTTGGAAAAAATGTTTTAAAGGTTTTATTTATTTATTTATTTAAGGATTTTAGTGACTTTCTAAAATTTTAATTAAGAATTTTATTATGAATTTTTAATGGAAAAGACCGATTGGAGGATTACATCCATTTTTAGTCTAAATAAAAAGTTAGAGTAATATCTAGTATTTATGATAAAGATTGAGGACTAAATCTAGTATTTACCCTTTTATTATTATTATTAAAAAAATAAATTTCCACTTCACTTTCTATTCAAAATACAACACATGATATAAAGAAAAATCCCCATATTGGTGCTTTAAAATCCAAACAAAACATCCCCATGACAGCTTGTAATGTTATTGCTTGTGATTTACCTTGTTTACTCGGCAAATCATCCTCTGCTAAAGTTTAAATTTTTTGGAAATTACAGAACTGGCATGTCTAAGGCTTGCAAGACATCCTTGAACTCGAAATTGCGTGGTTCTTTGTTGAACCGTTCCACCAGCTTGTACCTTGTATCATTCAGATACAAGGATTGAGTGGTCTCTAAGAGCCATTTTGCTTCGTCATCACTGAGTTTGCTGGTGAAAACAATGTCTCCACGGATAAGAACCAAGTCCTTGCTTTCTGCAAATTCTGTGTAAAAGGTTGCAGCAAAGTAGGGAGATGCTTGAGTTCCTCTTGCCTTGTAATCTTCAAGACCAGTAAAAAGCATGTGTGGCAGCTGCACTGCAAGAGAAATTTGAATGAGTAGTCAAGCAAACTAACAAGTCCTATGGGGAGGCACCAGGCCTGGTCCAGTCTCCAAAACTACTCTTGTACAAAAAAAAAAAAAAAAAAAAAAAAGAACTTTGGAGATAAAGCCCTTATTTTGATTGCCAAACAGGGGGTGAATCTTAATCTGTTTTTTTTCCATGAGTGTTAATCTTATAAATCAACTATATTTTGTGGCAAAAAAATAAAAAGAGAGAGAGATTTCCTAAAGGCAGGCCCCCAATACAAGTTAGAACAATTGCTTCCTATGGTAGAGAGAGGCATACTGAGACTTCAAATTGTTCTATGCTTGTGTCTAATATCTAGAAGCATACAACAAATATTATGATGAGAAAATAACCATGAAAAAGCATAAGAGTTTTGTTTCACTTCTTTGATCCCATTATCCACATCAGGACAGTAAATGAACCAAAGGGTTTGTTTTTCACTTCATCTCAACTTAAACTCTCTTCAGTTCAATCCTATCTTTCTCTTTTTTTCTCTTCTTTAATTTGTGACAATAGATCAAACAGTCATAATGCACTAGTTCTTTGACCAGAACTAGTCGTTCATACATGACTCAAGGCATTTCCAATGTTCTCACCATCTGAGAAATTTTATTAACATGAATGGGAGTTTAAAACTTCTAAAGCACATTAGAGCATTTAATTGCCACAGCTCACTAATTACTCATGACAGGATCACCAATGATGAAAATTATGAAATATATGACTGTGTAGGATTTTTTTTTTTTTTTTTTTGGTAAGGACAAATCATGCATTAAACAGGCATATCAGTGCAAAGAAAGAAATTTAGCAATAAGGAACTTTGACAATCAAATAAAAGCAACATACCCTCAAATACTAGCCCATACATCATATGATAAATGCCCAG